GTTGATGGTTTCTGCTACCAGTAAGAGCTCCTGTCAAGACGTGCATGGCTGCCTAATAGATGTATTTTTTTTGTCATCAAACAAACAAAAACAAAATATTCCCCTCAGGTTCCTCCCAGGAAAGGTGTCCAGGGAGTAAGTTGATATTGGATGTAACTCAGGAGAAAGATGTCGGGTAGGCTATAAGATAGTGTGGGAAGGCTGCACTGCTGTGGCTGCTCTGAGGTTCAGGACAACTCAGTAAAGCTCTGGTTTTATTTTTTGCAGTCTTCAATTTGAGAAAGGTGAGTAAAAATGTTTTCAATAAATGAGATTCATACCATTAAGGAAAAAAAGGATAGTGTGGGAAAGCTCTTGATCTTATATAGGGAATGAATTTACGAAGACCCCACTAGCAATTGCAGCAGCAACAAAAATAAATAAATGGGACCTGATCGAGTTAAAAAGGTTTTGTTTTGTTTGTTTTTTGAGACGGTCTCTCGCTTGGTCACCCTTAGTAGAGTGCCGTGGCATCTTTAGCTCACAGCAACCTCAAACTCTCGGGTTCAAGTGATCCTCTTGCCTCAGCCTCTCAAGTAGCCAGAGATGAGGTCTCACTCTGGCTCAGGCTGGTCTTGAACCTGTGAGCTCAGGCAATCCACCCACGTCAGCCTCCCAAGTGCTGGGATTACAGGCATGAGCCACCATGCCCAGCTAAGTTAAAAAGTGTTTGCACAGCTTAGGACACAATCCACAAAGCAAAAAGACAAACTTAAGAATGGAAGAAGATATTTATATGCTACCATTCTGACAAAGGGCTAATCACGAGAATCTATAATCAATGCAAGCGTATCAATACGAAAAGAGCAAACAACCCCATAAAAACCAAGCAAAAGACATGACTGGAAAAGTTTCCCACGAGGACAGAAGCGTGGTCATAAACACATGAAAAAATATTTCTCATCTCTAATCATCAGAGAAATGCAAATCAAAAACACTCTGAGATATCACCTAACCCCAGGGAGAATGGCCCACATCACAAGGTTACAAAACAACAGGTGCTGGCCTTGGTGTCCAGAGAGGAGAACACTCATGTACTGTTGGTGGGCCTGCAAACTGATACAGCCTCTATAGAAAGAAGTGTGGAGGGTGGCACCTATGGCTCAGTAAGTAGGGCGCTGGCCCCATATACTGAGGGTGGCAGGTTCAAACCTGGCCCCAGCCAAACTGCAACAAAAAAATAGCCGGGCGTTTTGGCGGGCGCCTGTAGTCCCAGCTACTCGGGAGGCTGAGGCAAGAGAATTGCCTAAGTCCAAGAGCTGGAGGTGAGGGCGACAAAGTGAGACTCTGTCTCAGAAAAAGAAAAAAAAGAAGTATGGAGATTCTTCAAAGAACTAAAAGCAGACATACAATTTGATCTTGCAATTCCACTACTAGGCACTTACCCAAATGGAAAAAAGACATTTTGCCCCAAGGATATTTGCATTAGAATGTTCATGGCTGCTCAGTGCACAAATCACAAAGATGTGGAAACAACCCAAGTCCCCATCAACACATGAAAGGATTAATAAACCGAGGTGTTTGCATACCGTGGAATATTATTCATTCCTGAGAAAAGATGGAAATTTTGCAACCTTTCTAACAACCTGGATGGACTTGGAGAACATTCTCCAAAGTATCTCAACAGCGAACAAAAATTGTGGGGTGGGGACATTAACTTGGGATTTCTCAGCCCGGAGTCATAACTGAGAGATGGGAATTGCTGAGGAAAGACCACAGAATCCAACATTTAGCAATAGAGCCCCGTAGAGCAGAGCATCTTGGGTGAGGTCTCTGGACCTGGGGTGCATTTTCTACAGTCCATTCACTTGGACTTTGAGTTGCCCAGGGTGATAGCACATAGAAAGAGAATACCTGAAATTAAGCGTTAAGACCACTACTGACCATGTGGGAGTAGATGAAATGGGTGAAGAAGAAACATCAGAAAATAACAGGGTTTTTTCTATCAGACGAAGAAGACCTAGCAGGGGCAGTGGGAAATAAGGAGGGTAATTGAAGCAGGCCCTTCACCTTCAATTGACTGGGTGAAATCTCATCCTGAGAATTTCCTGATTCACATAATTACATCCCATCTTTTCATCTTTTTATTTATTTTTATTGTTGTTATTCCTTTTATTTACCAGCCCACTGACCTCTCATCTTTTTCCTTTTTTTTTTTT